AGAGTATTCAGGGCTTGTTCCAGCAGAGCCAGCAGGCATGAAAGAGGAGACACGCGAAGCCGGACACCGCAAATATTCTCCACGACTTGTACCATAACACGTTTCCTTGAATTTCTTTTTCCCAAACAATGTCTTGAGTTTTTCTTCCCGGCATTCATGGCGGAAATACTGGTTGGCGATGGAAGGGGTTGGGTTGGAGGTTGGGGGAAAGGGCAACCGGCAATGGTCTAATTTGTGAGCGACGGGATGACCCCCTTTTTTCTTGTGATAAAGTGCATTATATCGAGAAATAACCGCATCCTACTCTGTGTAGCATGGGGTAGGCAATAGACAAAATTGCATTGCACTATGCTCGCTGATGAACTTTGACTGTGCTTGTCTCGACTATCGTGAAGACAATGGCTTGGCTTGATCTATCCCTCGGGATGTGTTTGAAACGCAGTGAAATCACTTCTCATGCAATACTGTAGTAGTGCGCATGCACTAGCGTTCCTGTAGCAGGCTGCAGATAGTTGTGTCACTTGGCATGCCTTCAAACCCGCATTACCTGAGTTTGACTCTTGCGATGGGTTAAGAATGCAGTGCAGATGCTTCGCCAGCCTACCTACCCGGGAGATCCCCAACCTAAGACATTGGCTGAACGCAATAACCATAACCCCCCCCCCCCTCTCTCTCTCCCTTAGGTAGCTTCTGCTTCGCTACTTGGGAAGCTTGGATACCATACGTCGACCACGCTACCTACCCTCATCAGACGGCATTACACTGTCTCTTTGAAGAGTCACTCGATTTCTACACAAGATAGCTACCTAAGGTACTCCATTCAAAGCTTCGCCTTGGCACTATCATACCTCTTCCCCTCGTCGTCCTGCTCCTTGACACGCAGATCGGGCAGGTCCGCCGGCATAATCCTCCGCGGCGTGGACCCGGGTACGAGGGAGTACTTTGAAAAGTCCGTGACTCCCGCGTGGTCCCGCAAAAAGTCTTCGTCCAAGACGAGCTCGCCGTTGACTTTGGCGGCGGGCGCGCGGAGGATCTCGAGGATGGCGTCGGAGAAGATTGTGGGTTTGCGCAGGTCTTTTGATTCGTCAGCGTTTGTGGCTTGGAATTTTTGGGTTGCTGCGGATTCAATGGCCTAGAATGAACGTCTCGTTAGTTTGCGTGATTCAACGTGTGTTGAGTTTACCAGAAGATAACCCAGGCTCATCTATCGAACATTGCCTGAGACCAAGAAGCAGGTGCTTCTCCTCGGAGAGAGGCTACAGGAAAAGAAGAAGGGCAAACATACCGCGGCGGGCCAGATACTCGTAATCGCCATCTCATTCAACCCCTGCCGGACGAGGTCCATGGCCAAGCCCTTTGTTAGGACGCTCATGCCGACTTTGCCCATGGCGTAGGCCGTCTTTCCCCGGAAGAAGCGGCTGTAGATGGGCGGGCTGACGACGACGACGCGGCCGCGGCGCTGGCGCTTGAGATGCGGGAGTGCGGCGTGGAGGGTCAGGTAGAGGCCCTCTGGGTTCACGCGCTGCATGAGCTGGAAGCGTTTGGGGGGCGTATCTTCGATTGAGGCCCACCAGATTGCGCCCGAGTTGTAGACTAGGACGTCGAGGCGGGCGTAGATCTGGAGGGGTGGTTGTGTCAGTGGATACACATGTGGGATAAGTAGGAGAGCGAAGGGAAGTCAGTTGAATGCATACCTTTATCGTCTGTTCTACCAGCTGTGTGACGCTGTCTTGGTCTCGCACGTCGACAGCGATGGGTGTTGCGTCGCCGCCGGCCTCGTGGATCTCACGGGCTACCGTGCTGATGGTTGATTCATTTGAATTAGGATTCGGTGGGAAGGGGTTGGCGTTGGTTGCGTCGCTGGTGGTCTTTGCGGCAACGACGACTGGTGATGAGGCTTTAGCTATCGGATTCTATGGACCGTGAAGACAGAAGATAGGAAAGTGTGCAGTACCTGCGTAGCCATTCTTTGCGAGGTCAATGGCGATTTGTCGACCGATGCCTCTGGAGGCGCCGACCACGAGAGCTACTTGCTTGGATTCGCCCATCGTGTATACTTGGGATAAGTGCTTGTCTGTCGTGGGAGATGTGACCGGGGAATTCTAGCATGTGATGAGATGGAAAGTAATTTAAATACGATTATCCCACAAAGCGATTGATCCCAGGTCAACTTAGCATACACACGTATATAAGCCTTGAGTTGCGCAAAGTAATGTGAGACTTTGTACACATGCCGTCGGGACTCGGTATAGATGTGTATTAGTGATCGTCCCCGATTGAGCTTGAAGCTAATCAAGGGAGCTTTATCCGTACCCCAGACACCCACTCGCTTGTGCCGAGGTTCCCCACACCATCCACCTCAAGTTCACCTCTTCAACTTGTCTTGATGAACATCTGTTCAACATTCACTACAAAGATTGCGCCATCGAGTGTGTATCGGAAAATATCACGTTCTTTTCCGTCAACAAGCCTAAGTCGCAACCATCGCGACAGCTTTCTGTCTCCGAGTACCGCCAAGATGGGCGGCAAGATCGATGCTTACATAGACATTGGTGAGTCTCAGATTGGACTACGAAATACTCAGGAACCGAAGGGCTCTACTCACAATAATTGTCAGCATCACTGTATAGTTATATCGCCTTCACTCACATAGTCAACAACCAGGAACTACTTGCAGCTCATGGGGTCCGAATAGAGTTCGTCTTCTCAACCCAACCAGTGTCCCTCGTAGTGACAGTCACTCACCGATATCTCATTAGTATCCACCCGGTTCTTCTTGGTGCCATCAACAACGCTTCAGGTAAATTTGTCCAGATATCCCAAGAAACTAATGAGCATCTAACTCCTCTATCTCACAGGAAACAAACCACCATGGACACTCCCAGCCAAGGCAGAGTACGGCACTTTTGACGCCCGCCGCTCCTCCGCCCGAGCAGGCAAGCCCGGCATCACCACCCCCGAGAGCTTCATGGAGCGAAGCATGACGGTCGGCCCCCTCCGCGCCCTGCACTTCATCAAGGCAAACTACCCAGACGCCACGTACCAGACGGCATGGCACTGGTTCCTCCACTGCTTCTGGGAGCCGCCTAACCTCAACCTCACGAAGCCCGACGTCCTGGCCAAGGCGATCGCGGACGCGCCCAAGCAGTACCCACCGCCCGCCGGCGGCAACACGCAAGAAAAGTTGTTCAGCGAGGCGGACGTGAAGAAGATCGTGCAGGGGGCCGGGTCGCAGGAGATTAAGAACTCGGTCAAGGCCAAGACACAGGATGCGATTGATCACGGTGCGTTTGGCGCGCCTTGGTTCTGGGCTGTGAATGAGCAGGGCAAGGGCGAGCCCTTTTTTGGGAGCGATAGGTTTCACTTCATCTATGAGTACCTGGGCGTCCCGTACCAGGACATTGCCATCTTGCCGCCTAGTGGCAAGGCGACCGCGAAGCTATAGTCCGGTCATGTATGAGTACTGTCTGTAAACTGTTTAGGGGGTATCTCTTTTTGTGATCTCCATGATAAACGCCGAGCCATTTCCAATACCCAAGACCCCGTGAAACCAAGTTGAGAGAAGAAGCAAAACAACAACGTAAAGGGTTTCACTGCACACGACCAGCCATCCTCGCCCGCCGCGCGTCGTCGTCCCTCTTGGCCTCGCTGCGCGCCAGGAAATCCTGTCTTTCGGCATACGACCCCTTGGCCCTGCCCGCCAGCTCGAGCTCGTCCTTGAGCCCTTCCTTGTCCACGAACCCGGCCCAGTCCATCTTGCTCTTCTGCACCGTGTTGAGCTTCTTGGCCTGCGCCTCCTTCTCCCTCGCCTTGATACGCACCGTCATGCCGAGGTTCAGATCAGAGCGCTGGCTGACAATCTCAATGACGGGCTCAAAAGCCGAGCGGAACGCCTTCTTGAGGACGCGTTTCAGCTCCCCGCCCTCGTTGTCCGCCTCCGCATTCGCAATTTCCGCGGCGGCGGCTTCCTTGCCGAGTGAGGCGAGATAAAGCTTTGCCTCGGCCGAGGAGCGCGCCACGACTTTTTCTTCGGTGTGGACTTTGCCTGCAAAATTGTAGGTTCGCTTGATGCGGATCGTGTCTGATGGGTCGCCTGCCTGGGATTCATCCGGCTTGCTCGTATCAGGCGCCGCGGCGGCAGCTGTTGTAGCGTCGGCCTCCCCTGCGGCCTCGTTCTCGCCGGCCGGTGCTGCTGAAGCCTTCTGGCCGGATAGCATCTGTGCCCAGATGGCATCGACGTCGACCGTTATCGGGCCAGACGCAGCCGCGACTTTGCGCTCTTCTTTTCTGTTACACAAACTGTCAGCGACGCCGAGCAAGAAAATCGTGCGAGAAAACGCCGTGCCTCCGACTTACTCTGCAGCGCGCATGCTCCGCGTCTTCACCAATCCTCCTTCGCCTCCCTCATCCTCCACGCTCAGAGCCAGGGCGGCGGCTGCATCCCTCGCTGCCTTTTTGAGCTTCTTCTTCGCTGCCTTCTTGATCAGGGCTTCATCGCCCGAGTTCTCAAAGTCTGCAGTCTCGTCGTCGCCGGCATCGCGCTTGCGCTTGGTGGGTTTCTTTGCTGCGTCCTCCCCGTCGTCGGCTTCGGAGTCGGACGCTTCGGAGGCGCCATCATCGGCTGCGGCTGCGGCTGCGTCTTCGGGCGCAAAGTCCGAGTCCTGGGAGGATTCGTACTCTTCGTCGTCTATGGTCGGATCGGGAGGCATATTCGATATTGTGGTGGGGTTGACGTGGTTGAAGGAGTTGGAAAGTCGCGTTCGAGCAAGGACTTGGCCAAGAAAGTTCGGTCGGCTGCTATCGGCACTATCTTGACCGAAGACGCTCGGTGAACGAGGTCTGTGTCCAATCAGATTGCGTTACCTCCACTATCTATCGACACCGCCGAGTCCCTTGACGCCCTTGGTTTTATCCGATTGGAAGCATCATTGACACAATATGTACATTTCGAGAGGGGTGGCAGGGCCTGGTTCCATAAAATCAATTTAACCGGTGCGGCGGGTTGTATTTGGACGCCTTGTAGGTTTCTATTCCGGCACGCCCTCCGAGTTCTACACATCCTTCTAGATACTCCTCTTTAGCGGTGGTCAATACAAACAACCGGTCTGCCCTTCGCTGGGTTCTAGACATAAATAGACGACTTCCATCCTTGCTTGAAACTTTGCTTCAATGCTTGCTCAACCTGTCTGCGTTCTATTGACCCTAGCAGAATCTACTGCATCTTTATACACTCAACTTTGCTATTTATTCCCCATTTCCAATCCCCCCACTAAAACAGGCTGGTAAAGAACGATATATACCTTTCACTGCCGCTCACAACCATGTCTGCCAATATCGAACCGCTAACCGACGCTCAGAAAGAGCACTTCAGAACAACGGGCTGGTTGAAGCTGAGCAACTGCTTCACAAAGGAACAAGCACAATGGGTCACCAAGGACGTATGGACTCGACTTGGTATGGACCCCAACGACAAGTCAACCTGGAAGCAAGTGACAAACATGCCCCACCACCGCACCTTTGACGCCTCCGAGTACGCGCCCAAGGCATGGGCCGCCATCTGCGAGCTGTGCGGCGGCGAGGACCGGGTGGCACCCGAGTCAAAGGAGTGGAGGGACTCTCTCATTGTCAACCTGGGCAGCGAGGAGTACGAGGGCACGGAGCCCGACCCCAAGGAGCTGGGCATCTGGCATGTTGACGGTGACTTTTTCGTCCACTACCTCGACTCACCCGAGCAAGGCCTGCTCGTGATCCCGCTCTTTACGGATATTGTCCCCGGTGGCGGCGGGACGTTCATCTGTCCCGAGGCGATGGCGGGAGTCGCGCGGCATCTGTACGAGCACACTGACGGGGTCTCGCCGCGGATGACACCGAGAGACGACCCCGACTTCTCAAAGGAGAAGAACCTCGACTGGTTCAACGGGCTCGCGCGGAGCTGCGGTGATTTCGTCGAGGCTCACGGGGAGGTGGGGGATGTGTATCTCTTGCATCCCTTGATGCTCCACAGCGCGTCGAGGAACCCGCTGCGGCGGCTGCGTATCATCACGAACCCACCGGTATTCCTGAACCAGCCTCACGTCTTTGACAGGGCGGATGGGTCGTACAGTCTTGTGGAGCAGGCGACTCTGAGGATGTTGGGTGCTGAGTCGCTGCCCGGGTGGAAGATAACGGCGCCGCGGGAGCGGGTCGTCCCGGAGAGGCTCAAGGTACAGGAGCGGATGAAGCAGGAAGAGATTGAACGTCTTGCAGCCACCGCTTCTTAGATTTGCGTAGAGTTGGCACCATGGTAGTGCTTCTGGATGATAGCTAGGAGCCGATAAGCGCCGTTGACGGATGAACTCATTTGATAGATGGTCTTGGCAGTCACAGCGAGTTGGGGGGCAGTCTCGGCTTTAATAACAATTGTTAGAATCCAATAGCAAAAATGTCGCGAACAGAGCCTCATGCAAATGGTGGTATCCTTCTGCCCCGACACTGCTGCACCTTGCAAGACATGCAATCAGTAATCGGCATCTTGGCTTTCAGATGCCAACTCATTCCAGTGGGCAGACTGTCAGAAGCAAATTACCACAATATGGCTTACACTCTTACATCGCCAATTTCGAAAGATGATCCTGTTCTGCAGGCTGCAGTTGCGCTGCAGGATGCGCCTCACATTGCACAGGGATATTTGAGCGAGATGCCGAGTCAATGACAATAGAGAATTGAACCTCCCTTGCTCTACGAAGTATCCGCTACCGATCACTTGGCCGGGTCTAATGCACGAACAAGGTCTTGATTGACCAATACTACAAGTGGTGCTTATCACATGTGGAAGTTCGAAAGACCCCTCTTCGCAATAGAGGGGTGGGACCGAGATATTAATTGATATGGGGACAGCTGCAGGACCGGCGTGTATTTTGCGCTTGTGTTGCATGAGCGCTATGCCAATATGGGTTCCGTCTCATGGAACCGCAACTTTCAGGATGTCGCGATCTGATGATCATGATAGTACGAGGTATTTTGAGAAGAGACCAACGTGAGGGGGGTATGGGGTGGAAGCTATTGGGGCTGCCCGTTTCCGAGATCCATCGATGGCGGGCATGAGTTTGGACCAGAAGCCTCTGGGATTCAAATAATCGTGAGCAACCATTCTATTTTCAAGCCTTTTGATTGCTTTTCTGTCATCTCATTTCCCGCAGAGCCAAGACTACGTCGAGATGTTTTAACAGTTTGCTAACTTAGAACACCTTTGTTGAACTCTTGGATTGGAAATATCAGACGCTACTTCATATCTATTGTTTGAAATCAAGTCCTCCAATCACACCAGATACTCGTGGTTCTTTGAACTTGAGTCTTGAGGTAAGTGGCAGCCATTCGTCATCTCAGCTTGAAGTTCTTGTCGGATGTAAAGTCGCCTTCAGACGAACGAGATACCAGACATCAGCAGATTCTCAGATTACATACGCATCTAAAGTGACTTCAACTTACCCACACGTCGACGAGCCACCATGGCCCCTATTAAGAGCATAGAGTACTTCCGAGTACCTCCTCGCTGGCTCTTTGTCAAAATCACAGACGAGGATGGCAACTACGGTTGGGGTGAAGCAACCCTAGAGGGGCACACGCAGGCAGTCGAAGGATGTCTCGAGTTTTACAAGAGTCAGTTTACTGGGATGGATGCCGAGTAAGTCAATAGCCTTTGACGTTTTTAGTCCTCTAGGTCTTCCTTATTGATTGCGATGTATTTCGTAGTGAGATTGAAAATATCTGGCAGACAGCCTGGCGCAAGCACTTCTACCGCGGCAGTGCGGTCTTTATGAGTGCCTTGTCTGGCGTTGACATTGCCCTTTGGGACCTGAAGGGTGAGTGTACGCGACTGTATACAGCACGGCGGGAGATTGTAGTGACGGGTAAACAGGGCGTAAGCTGGGTGTTCCCATCTACGAGCTTCTTGGTGGCAAGGTCCGAGACAAGATCAAGGTCTACGCTTGGATCGGCGGGGACCGTCCTGACGATGTTGCTTTGCAAGCGTATATTGAACACCCCTCATTCTTGAGACATCGTGATCAAAAGGCTGACTGCGAGGAAAGGCAACAGCGCCTTGAAGCTGGTTTCACCTGTGTCAAAATGAATGCCACGGCGGACCTCGGCTGGCTCGACTCCCCAGCTGCTCTACAGACGTCCGTGGATAGACTGGAGACAGTGAAGAAGATGGGCCTTGACGTCGGCGTCGACTACCACGGTCGAGTCCACAAGGCTATGGCAGACCAACTCGCCAAGCTCATGGAGCCACACCAGCCCTACTTCATCGAAGAGCCGCTTCTCTCAGAGAACATTGGCGGCATCGCGGCCCTTTCGCAGAAGACGACCATACCTATCGCGCTCGGCGAGCGGCTCTACCACCGCTGGGATGTCCGCCCCTTTCTGGAGGCGCAGTGCATCGATATCCTCCAGCCCGACATCTCCCACGTAGGTGGTATCTCAGAGATCCGCCGCATCGCCGCCATGTGCGAGACCTACGACGTCTCCGTCGCGCCGCACTGCCCCCTGGGTCCCATCTCCCTGGCGGCCAGCGTGCAGGTCGACACGGTGATGCCCAACTTTTGCATCCAGGAGATGAGTCTCGGCATCCACTACAACGCCATGGTCGGCAACGAGGACCTGACGAGCTACATCAAGAACCCGGAAATCTGGGGCCCGGTTGGGGGCTATATCGACATTCTCCGAGGTCCGGGTCTGGGAATCGAGGTTGACGAGGAGAAGGTGCGGGAGCTCTCGAAGGAGTGTGACATCTGGGTCACGCCTGGCTTTAACGGCCCTGGGGGGGAGATTCGAGAGTGGTAGATCACTGCTCGGGGAAGCGGTGATGAGATGAGATGTTTCATCGGATGAGGGAAGGGTGGCACGCGATCAACGTGATGATCGGGAACAAGCAAGCTGCCAGGAATGCTCCCAAGCATTAGACATCCTAGATCTATCATCTAAACAGGTGGCTCACCAAGTACCTTGTCAGTCACGGTTAGTCTGCTATCAACGTAGCGCGGATCGGAGAAGTTTGCAACATCCGTTGGAAAAGTTGGATATCCTCTTCTGTTAGGAGATTATGGCTCAACGATTTTTTAAATTGTCTATACCCTTCTATAGTCGTATGAGTCGTTCGAGTGTTTTGTGAATGGCAATAATTCCTTGACGTCGGAAGCGTTGCCATGGAGGAGAGCTGGTCCTCACTAATTTGCTCCAGTGTACTCTATACTCATGAGGGCATCGCTCGTTAAATTTTCGATTCTCTCCAGCTCTCTGTCTCTCAAGGGTTTATTCACATTTGAATAAGTCCAGATATTCGAAAAACACTGCTCAATTATAGAGAATAAGTTGAGGTATTATCTGAATATTTGAAACGACAAAAAGCGTCACAACATCGGACTTAGTTGAAATCGCAGATATGGCCTAGCCCAGCAGAACAGCCCGCAGGTCTTCTACTGAGACGAGGGCCGCCAGTACGTTGGGTACAATGCAGACAGTCGTAAAATGAATGAGTGATGCCTTAAGAAGATTATTACCACGGATACACTGGAGTAAATGGACGAGGAGTCGTAGGATACAGTAGCGGAGATGTATTCTGCGTGCCTGCATGGCAAACGTCGTTGAACGCTATGACCACCGCCTTGGGATGGCGCCAGCAAACCTTCGGTTAAGCAGGACCCTTGCGCAAGTGCTCCTGCCTGACATCACCCCATTCGGTGTGCGATTCTCGGTCTCTCTGTGCCTAGAATTTGGGACCTTACCACAATTACCTTTCCCCAGATTTTCCTCCTGACACTTCTTCTTTCCCCCCCATCCCTGAGCAGCCCGCAACAATGAGCAGCGACGACGAGGACTTTGTGGTCGAAGGCCCCGAGTTGGCCGCAGACGACCCTATGCGCGCATTCCTACCGACGTCGTTTGGAAAAAAGACGAAGGAAGCCAACATTGCCGCCCAGATCGATCGGAGCCGAAGAGTGGCAGAGAAGCCCTTGGCAGGAACGGCCATTGAGGGATCCGCAGGTCCACCAAAAGCTGATCACAAAGACAAGAAGTCCGACACAGACAATGACAGTGACAGCGACGACTCCGACTCGAACGATTCTGAAGATGGCGACGACTACCCAGTCTCCCACGAGTTGGTCCTGAAAACACACGAAAGAGCAGTCACCACAGTGACGCTGGACCCGGCAGGCGGAAGACTCGTGTCGGCCTCACTCGACTGCAAGATCAACCTGCACGACTTCGCGTCCATGACACCGAGTACATTGCGAGCATTTCGAAGCGTTGATCCATGGGAAGCGAAATCTTCTTCTGCGAATGCCGAGTCGCACCCGATCCACCATGTTGAGTTTAATCCTCTCGCTGGAAGCGTATTTCTCTGCGTATCGGCCCACCCGCAGGCAAAGATTATGTCGAGGGACGGCGACATCGTGACCGAATTCGTCAAGGGCGACATGTACCTCAGGGACATGAACAACACCAAGGGGCACATCTCAGAAGTCACCACGGGAACTTGGCACCCGACCGACAAGAATCTCTGTGTGACTGCCGGCACCGACAGCACCCTAAGAATCTGGGATATCAATAACAAGCGCAGTCAAAGGGACGTGATTGTCTTCAAGTCCAAGGCGGCGGGATCCGCTGGTCGAACGAGGATGACTGCGGTTGCCTGGGGCGCGCCGGCGCAGGGTGGCAACAACGTATTGGTCGCAGCCGCACTGGACGGCTCGCTGGTCATGTACAGCGGCAACAGCCCGTTTTCTCGGCCAACGGCAGAGATTCGAGACGCCCACAAAGCCGATACCTGGACTGGAGGTGTGGATATCTCTTCTGACGGTCGCATGGTCGTCACCCGCGGAGGCGACAACACGATCAAGTTGTGGGATACGCGAAAGTTTAAGACGCCTCTTGTCACGGTGGACCATGCGTCAACATCAGATCACTTCCCGATGAGCAACATCAGATACTCTCCCAACTCGACAAGTATCTTGACAGGTTCCGCAACAGGCGACCTGCACATTCTAAACCCCGGAAATCTCAGAGCCGAGCATGTCACGCCAATCACGCCAGGAGCACCTCTCATTACTGTCGATTGGCACCCCAAGATCAACCAAATTGTCACGGGATCTGCGAATGGCGAGACACATGTGCTGTACAGCCCGACAATGTCGATGCGGGGTGCCGTGGAGGTTATGTCGCGAGCGCCAAAAAAGAGGCACATTGACGACGATCCATCCCGAACGACAGATATGACAACGGGCATGTCTGGAGATGCTATCATCACACCAGGAAGCGTGATGGCTGGCCGGAGAAATGCGGGAGTCACGGCTTCCGGCAAATCCAAGGATCCCAGGAGACCGGCGGTCTTGGAGCAAACGCCGTTCATGAGAAATCAGCCGGACGAAAAGCATATCGCAGAGAACATCCCTCTTGCGAAAATGCTTCACGAAGACCCCAGAGAGGCACTGCTGAAATATGCTGATGCCGCGAAGAAAGACCCAATGTTTACGGCTGCGTGGCAGACGACACAGCCCGTTACTCAATACGCAGATGTGAGCGACGACGAAGGGGAGCCGGACAAGAAAAAGGTCAAGCGGTGAGCAGTGCGGTGCTGCTGTCGGGCCTAGGTGTTTGATTTCGTGGGGAACCATGGCAGGAGTATGAGTTTAATCCTGGACAAGGGACGTGGTTTTAGAGCAGTCGAGCGCTGGCTAATCAATTCGGGTTGCAGTTGGGATATGGGTACGGGGAGAAACACCTAGGAAATGGCAAGCCTACGATTCGGCTGCATTCCTGAAGGATCTCTCCACTTGTTCATCTTTCCATCAGATTAGCTTCGCTGGGAGCAACCCCCCAAACATAGAGACAGGCAAAGCAGCTGACACTTGCAGCAGTGTGTGGACGTCCCTGCGGGCCGCCACGGCCAATTCACCGGGCCAGGCCGGGGGGTAGGTAATCCAGCCAACGCCGCGTCTGGAGGAGAACCTAGTACGGGTCTACGGGAGAGAGACGCGCTTCTGCTCTGATGCGCCGACGACCTAAACACTTTTTTCTTCAACCTTGTTGCAAACGAAAGACGACAGATGCCAAGCGGCGTGGATCTGGCATTCCTTGGTGGCCGATGAACCTGACAGGCGGCAGGCCACGGTTTGAGGCGCGTTTGTGGCCCGGATAGTACCCGAAGCCAACCAGTGGCCGACCACGCCGGCCACTGCCTGGTCGTGCCTGGTCGTGCCTGCCTGCAGTAAACCAGGAAAAGAGTTGGCCCAAGCGCCCTCGCTTGTACATAAGCAGATTAGCGTAGACGCCTCAGGCATGAAGTTGTTGCGGTGCTGAAAATTACGGGGACTCAGTTTCACAGAGTCCGCACCAACCATCAATGAATCTTGTCGTTGTCCTCACCTCTCCATCTCAACCGGCACCGCGCGCATCGAAAAATCGCCATCCCCCCTCTACAGGCATCGACGCCCATCTCGGAAAGTGTCCAGCAACCTATTCCACGCGATTTCCTCGCGCATCTTACTCGAGGTAACGCACCGACGCCGCGCCCATCCGACCAACTCCCGTTTTTTCGCATCACGTCCTGTTCACCCTTCCACCCGTTTTCCCCCCCCACGCTTCGCGGCACCGCATTCGCGTCCCCCATCCATCGCCTCTGCCGCTGAACTCCATCAGCCATCTCGGTGATTTCGATTCCACGCGACCGACGTGTCTCCGTTCCGACCACGGCATCTACCTTGCCGTCCCCGAACCACGTCGCCGTCCCCAAACCCCGTATTTTCGATACCGACGCGCTGCATTTTACCGTCCTTATCACCAATAGCCTTCCAGTCTCTCATTTCGCGACGAGCCGAGCGCGACAAACCTTCAATAAGGCTCCACTTGTCTACACCTACGACGCCTTTGCATGATAATGCGCTCGAGGTTGTCGTCGCATCTCTAGAGATTCCCGCAGTCATTAGATTTGCTGGAATACATACGTCGCCCACCATGGCTTCAGTACAGGCTGCGCCTGCCGTCCAGCTCCCTGGCGCCGGCATGGCGGCTACCACTCCTCAACAGGCTCAAGAGATATTCAATGTAAGCGCCTTTGCTCCATCATAACCGCATTCCTTTCGCACTCCAATCATGTGTCAAAGTTTGATGTGATTCCATGATGCTAACACACCCAAGAAATTCAAGCAGATGAGAGAGAGCGGCGTCCCAACCACTGATCCCGAATACATCAAGGCGGAGCAGTTCGTCTTGTCCTTCCAACAACAGGCGCGTCTGCGACAGAAGCAACAGCAGTTCCTCCAACATCAACAGCAACAGATGCAACAACAGCGACAGATGCAGCAGGCTGGCGGACCCAACGGCGCTGTCAATGGCTCGCAGGCCGCTCAGCAGCACCCTCAGTCGACACAACCTCCCACATCAAGCGCGCTCAGCGCCTCGGCGCTTCCTGCAGCCAACTCAAATAACGCTGCCGCTGCCGCTGCAGCTGGGTCTCCTTCGACAGCTGCTCCTCCCAGCGGCCCAGGTGCTGGTCAATTCAACCCGCAACAATTGAGTTTGCTTAGACAACAGATCCACGCGTTCAAGCTGTTGACGAAGAATGCTGGAGTCCCTCTGCAGATGCAGCAAGCTATCTTTGCCCAGCGCGAGCGCAGGAAAGCCATCGCCGCTGAGGCTGCTGCACTGGCAGCTTCATCTACACCCGCAACCACTGGTCGAGACTCTGCACAGCCCGGTATCAATGGATCCGAAGCCAAGTCTGAATCTCCTCCCGAGGTCCAAGGACCAACGTTCAAGACCGTCAAGTCTCCTCATGGAGATAACAATCTGATCCGCAAGTCAATCAGCCACTTCGATCATACTCAACGGAAAAACCGCAAGCTGATTCCGGGATTGTTCCCCACTGGTGTC